AATTCTATTGTATTGTATCACACATATTATTACTAAAGTTAAGCAAATTAGCATATCTACAGTCTTATATAATTTCATTTTTTGTGTGTATATGTCAAAAATACCTAAGATTTACCTTCTTAGTAAATTTCTACCATCCAATGCAACATTATTACCTGTAGTTTTATGATATACATTAAATCTCTAGTCTTATTTATCCCAAATAATGGACACTTTGGCTCTTTTTACCTCTATTCCCTCCCTGTAACATCTTTCTATTTCTGGGTATTTGAGGTATTTTAAGGTTCCAAATACTAGTGAGATTATGCAACATTTTTTTTCCCTCCCTGCCTGACTCAGTTTATTTGCAACTATACAACTCCAGGAGAAAAGCATAGAGAAATTCCCAATTTAACTCTGGTAAGATTTTTTTTTTTAAATTGTCTCATCAAAAGCACATGTAACAAGAGCCAAAATAAACAAAATGGAATACATCAAAGGACAAAAAAAGTATCTACACAGCACAGGAAACAGTCAGAAGCTGGTAAGGCAGCCAATGGATTGGGGAAAAGATGTTGAGGAACTAGGTATTAGATAAGTAAGGCTTCATAGCCAGAGTCTATAAGGGACTCCCATAGCACAGTAGCACTCCAACTCCAAATCACCCAGTTAGTGGGCAAAAGAGTTGAATGGGGATTTATTCAAAGAGTGAAAATGGCCAACTCATATGTGAAAAGATGCTCATGGTCACGAAGCAAAGAGACTTTGGAGGATAGGAGACTAGAGTGTGAGTTGCTGAGAATGTAGGTCAGTACAACTATTATGAAGGCAGGGTGGAGGTCCTTTATCAATATTATTATTGTCCTCTCTCTCTCTCTCTCTCTCTCTCTCTCTCTCTCTCTCTCTCTCTCTCTCTCTCTCTCTCAATGCTACTGATTATACTTACATGCCTCAACATGTATATTTCTATTACACCTGTGTCAGCCCACCCACTCTTGCCTGCAAATCTCTGTCTTAAAAAACTGAATAGAACTGTTGAATGATTCAATATTCCTTGATTGAATATTCACATTTTCTCCTTACTTTTTAAAGTTTCAGAAAGTTCATTTTAAAAGTGCCTGTTAGTTAAAGGGATGTGGGAGTTATGAAGACATCAGTATTCCTTTTGTTGGTCAGGCTTAGAGAGAAGGGGATTGTGGGGAAAGTGCTGAAGCACTGGAGGTGGAGTCCAAAGAGATTAAGATGAGAACTGACATTGGTGCTGAGGAGACAAAAGTACACCCTGACTTACCGTTCAAAGAGCGCAAATGAGGCAGGAGTAAGGGCTGTGAGTGGCAAAGGGATTCTTCTTATGTGTTGTAGAGAATGAGCACTCAGTCTGGACACCTGGCACACACCTGACTTGAGTTCAAGCCCTGAATATGTATCATCTCCTACCATGTGCTGCAGGTGGGACATGGGTATGTGTCACACAGAACCTGGGAGACAGCACTTCATGGGACTATGTCCACTCAGATTGAGTAGATTAAGACTCATTGACTTCCTCTCATAATAGTAAATTTTATTGCATATACATAATTTATTCTTTACAAACTTTAGAGCTAGGAGAATTTTTTTTTTAAAACATCAGAAGCTATTTTATCTGTGAAAAGGACAAACAGCCTTTGGTGAAATTATCAGTTTAATCTGTGAACCAAGTCATGAAAATGCAAGTGTTAGCACCTAAGTGCCTAGCTGGTAAACTCTTTCCATTGCCTGTTCGGTGTTCAGGGATACCTGTTATGCCCAAAGCATTCTACAATGCTCAAAGAGCTAGTTCTGATGGAATTGAGGCTTTCTTTGTGTCTGAGGTAGTCTTCATGCCAGCTCTGTTTCAAAGCATATTATGTCTGAGGGGAACCTGCCCAACTCTGATGTCTCTGTTTAGATTTGGCCCAGTTTTCCCTTAAAATATTTTTGTGTCTGGATCTAAGTTGGGTTGCTGCCCTAAAAATGGTATGCTGGTAGATAGACTACTCAGTATTGTTAAGATGAACCTTGTAAGCATTGAAATAATTGTGATTCTGTTCAGAATCCATTAGCTTAAGGTTTTATACTCATTTTTGAAGTCCCACAAGGGCCTAGTACTGGGCCCATAAAAGAGGTAAGGAGGTTTTTGTTGTTTTGTATTTTGCTGTACTTTTATTTCTTTAAAAATTTGGGCAAAGCTGGTCATGGTGGCACACATCTTTGAATTCTAGTACCTGGGAGGCAGAGGCAGGTGGGATGTCTTTGAGTTCAAAGCCAACCTGGCCTGCAAGTTGAGTCCTAGGCCAACTAGAGCTACACAGTAAGACCTCGGGAAGGGGAGGGGGGCAGGAAGGGAGAGAACAAGGGAATCTGTGGCTATTATGTAGAACTGAATAGTATTGTAAAATAAAAAAAAAGCAACAAAACAAAACAAAACAAAACAAAACAACAACAACAAAAAAAAACCAAAGAAATTGGTCAAGAAGTTGTTGTTTGGTCTTTGCCAGTCATGCTGTTATGTTCTCCTCAAGGCAGCAGCTTCCTCGCCATCAGTTGTTGATTGGGGGTAAGTGGTGGGTGTGATCTCATGAGGCCAGGGGTCATGAGCAGGGTTTCAGTTTGGGTCCTCGCTTTTCCTCTGATGAGTGGAATTTGCTGCTGGCATTTTTCATGCTATCAAGGCTTCAGATTATCAGAAGCAAGACACAAGTGGAAAGAACCCAACCTTCCCAGGAACAGTAAAGTGCCTTTACCCCAAATAATTGCCCTCGTCACCCCAGGGAACCACATCTTATCAGACACTTGAACTGGAGACGAGTCTGCTGAGGACAGTCAGGCTTTACACAGTTGGTGTCCGTAAGAATCACTGAGCGATCTTATCACCTGACTTTTGGGCCCTTGTCCGCTGCACCTCAACTGGAACTACTTGAATGTCCGTTCTTCTGGAAAGGTGATGGTACAGGGAAGGCCATTCATCCGTCCTTTCATTGGGTAGATAACTCTTATTATGGAGTATGTGAAAGATCCAGGTTAGATGTCAACAGACATGAGCAGTGGAAAAAAGCTCATGAGACATTTGTGTTGTACTTGAGAATGATGGTAATTAAAATAAGGAGTAGGCACTGTTGGGATTGAAATGGGAGTCCCTAAACAGGACAGGGAATGAGGACTTTGATTGACATAGTTAGAGCAGGGCACCACTATCTGACCATCTGGAGACCTTACCTTTGGTACTGTGACGTGACGTTGAGTTCCCTCTCCTGTCCCCAGGCTGGTGTTATCTATCACAGGAGGGATTAAAAAGACAGATTGCAGAGCTTTGGATGCAACAGTTGTCTGTGTTCCCTTCACTTTGTAAGTGATGAAATTGAGGCGCCGAGAAGTTGCCTGACTTGCTCCAGGTTTCACAGCTGGCTTCACTACCTGGTTACAGGTAGTCAGTGTTCATTGTGAGGATTACCAGTGAGTGGAACACTGATAACCTTTGACTTGGTAGAGTCCCATACTTAGATGTTCCTGGTCTCCCATGTGGTCACCACTGGCATCCCCCAGGTTCTCCAGGCTCTACAAGTTACCTTCCATTCAGAAATTGGCAAAAGCTCTCCAGCTCTGATTCCACCCCCTAATCAACACAAGTGTCATCCTTTATTAGACTTCTCTTATCTCCTCTCTGCTAGCTACTGCCCTGGGCTTTTTCTGAGTGGCTTATGGCAGCTTCAAAGTGTTAAATCTGTTCACATTGGTTTTTTTTTTTTTTTTTGACTGTGAGCACAGTTCCTTTTCCAAGAACCTTTAAGACCAACCAATGTAGTTAACAAAAACAGTAGCAAAGGTTTGAAGACAGCACAAAGGAATTACTCTGAGAAGGGAAAATAAACCCATGTGTGAATTCTGGCTGGAGTTCCCTGGTGAAACCCACACAAGGAGGTCCCTTGTTATTATTTTTCTCTTTTAAACTTACACCAAGCTCAGTCCTACTACTCCAGTATGGAGACCAGTTAAACATGATGGCTTTTGACCATGTTCCTCCTACCTCAAGTTTTGACTGTTAGGTCTTCCTTGGGTTTAGAATGTTAAGAAACCTTCCTTTCTCCATAAAGACTCTTTATTATGAGTTAAAGATCACCATGGCCAAGTCTTTTAGAGCAGTTTCCTCTTTATAGTCTCATGTTTTCCATTTTAGATTTCAAATTGGACTTTGTTTTTACATAATTAAAATGTTCCACATAAGAATACTGTGAATAATATCTTTACTTTCAATTCAATTAAAAATAAACAACAACAACAAAAAAAAGCTGGCTTCTTTGACATAACCTTCTCCCATATTTACCAATCAACCATCAGAATTTAAGTTCTTACTGGGCCAAATGTCCAAATGTCTCCTATGATGGTCAAGAGACGTTCCCTACTTTTTTACTGTAAGGGACTTTCCATTACCATCTTCAGATCTTGTTTCAAAACCAAATCTTTCCTGGAAGCTTGACTTCACTTCCATCTCATCAACACTTTATGCTTAACACTTAGGTCATTCATTTGAATGGTCTTTTGCTGTATTCCATCATTTGTGTGTGTTTCTCTGTCCATTAGAACGCCCTTAACAGGCACTTGAACTGTTCCTTCATTCACTGTTGCCCGTGTTTGTCCACATTGCTTCATTAGACAAGTCTATTTCTTGGCTGACAAAAGTCAGTGTTTATCCCCCACATATTGCCCAAGAGGTTATACTTAATATTTTGTCTTTTCTCAATCGATAATGTCCTTTGTTTGATCTTTAGGCTGATATGTTCAGGTTTTGTAACCGCTGCTTGTCGTCAGGTAGACTTGAGTATGAAATTTAGAGACGAAGGTTCCTTTTGAGGGCATTAGATCTTGTTTGACATCAGAAAATGTGATCTTTGGATGTTATGAATTCTGTTATAAAACTCAATGTGACGATTGTATATGGGATCACTGGAGGCTGAACTAAAGACAGCTTTTTTTGTTTGTTTGTTTTTTGTTTTTTTGTTTTGCAGGAAGACTGCCTGGCTTATGGAATGGTGAGGTGAGGGATGCTGAAGATCAGAAGAAGGTAACCGTAATTGGAGTCTGAAAGCCATGAGAGAGAGAGAGGTGGAGGCAAAGAGGTCTTGAAACTAAGTGGTCTCACTGAGAGCAAGAAGATAAACTAAGGGAGGGAAGTTGGGAAGATCTGGGCTACCATGTAGTCAAGCCCAGGCTGAAAACACATGAATATGAGCAAAAGAAGATTGAGGGGATCAAGGAAAGAGGGCTGAATTTTTCAAGTGTTTAGCTGAACTTACTGGGTTACTCAAAAAAAAAAATAGGGTAGTAAACATAAAATATGAACGTATCTAATACCTATTTTCATGGATTACCCTTATGACTAGCCTAACCCTATCTTTCTTTTAATATCTAACAACATGTGAAATTCATAAAAAGTTGGTGTCTCAGGCTTTGAATTCATGAGTATGCACAAAACAACTCCGGTGATGTCTTGGTACTTTTTGGTTACGTACCTAACTTAATTATCCTTTTCTCAATGAGGGGAAAGGTATCTCTGATTTGATAAACTAATGAAATGAACCCATAGGAGGAATCTAGAACCCATCTATCTAGTATCAAGCCACATCTCTGAATATGGAAACATGAATGGATCCACGTAGAGCTGACAGAATTGGCATTACAATGGACAGTGCTGGATGCCCTTGGAGTCAAACAACATGTCTCCCAGTCCAACCTTTTCTCATAGTTGTATGGTCTGGTCAAGTGACAAGGTGCTTTCCTGAGTCTCAGTTTTTCCCATCTGTTAAGTGAAGGTTAGTGATGATAGTATTTACCTTACAGAAGCATTGAGGATTTTGAATAAGCAAATACATGCAAAGCTTGTAGAGGAATGTCAGGTACACAGGGCTGGGTAGGTTCCTGTTATTATTATGATTACATTTCCTGTCATCTGCCTTTGCTATAAATTTGTGTGTAAGGGTATTTAAGGTGGGGTGAGGGCTGAAGATTTTCTTGTTAATCAGTTTGGCAAATATTAAAAGTTGGGTTTTCTCTGCCTGAAGATTTGTGTGTGTGCATATATACATATTATGTGCACATACATATGTCTATACTGGTTTTTCATAGTGTGCTTGTTAATTTCTATATTATGTAAGAGTCGATTGCATTTTCCTTTTCAATAATGCTGAAACTATATTCTTCTCATGGGGCGGGTTCTTTCTCATCTTAATCAACAGGATGAGAATGTTACCCATACGTGGGAGCAATTTCAGTGAACATGTGAGCCCGTGGAGCTCCCTTTCTATTAGGGCCAAAGGAACATTTTAATTTTCTCTTTGTTATGTTCCAGACACACGCCGAACTGTATTGGGAATATCACTATGAAATAAAGGGGCTCATGCAATTCAGCACCTCCTCCACACGGCTAATTAAACAGAATGAGAGGCAAGGACCAGACAAGAACGGAGCTCATAAATATTACACATTTTTATTAATAACATACAAACGAACTTAATTAAAACTGCATTTTCCATGAGTTACAGTCTCAGCAATGTGTTCCCTTGTCTGAAGGCCCCAGTGGGAGCGGACACGTCCTGGAATTTTAACACAAGGAGACTCCCTGTTACCTTAACCCGCTCTTTGAAGTTATTTTGCCACTTTTCACTCAAACCTCTCCAGTCTCATGGAGCCAAGAGTTTACATCTTCTGCTTAGCTGCTACCTAGGCATTAGCATGTGCGTGCTGTCCCTCTGCTCCTCGGAACTCCAGGGGAGCCTGTGATCATGGTGACAAGTCTTGGCACTTTAAAGGTTTAAATCAGAGGCTAAGGAGAGAGAGCTCAGTCAGTGGTTCCCTCACAAGCCTGAAGACCTGAGGTGAATCCTCAGCTCCCACATAAAAATCCATGGTGGCATGGTAGGAATGTATCGGAAGTCTTAACACGGAGAGGTCAAGAGGAGGGTCCCTGGAGCTTGGTGGCTAGCTAGTCTTCCTGTGGACTCCGGGTTCAGGGAGAGAGTCCTCTCTCAAAAACTGAGGCAGAGGGTAAAAGGAAAAGACATTTACTGTCAACCCATACATGTACATGGCTGCAGGAGTACAAATGCAAGCACCCCGCCCTTCCCCCAAAGAATTCAAATCAAAACTCGTATGCTACAACAAGGATGCAGTTTGCTCCCTAGTGGTTCAAGTGTTGGAGGCTGGGTCCTCAGTGTAGCGATGGCGAATCCTATTGAGAAGTCCTTAGGCCACCTGGAGCTCTCAGGGGATCCTGTTCTTCTGAGAGCGTTGTCTTAACAATCTCTGGATCACTGTCCGGTTTCCTGTCTGGCAATGGGATGCCTCGCTCCTGCTCCTGTTTTCATGGGATGCTGTCTCCCAGGAGGGGGTCCTCATCAGGCCTGACGGTACCTGCACCATGTCCTCTTGCGTCCAGAGCTGAGAGCTAAATCAACCTCTTCTCTTTCTAAGATTACCCAGTGTAGTCATTACTTTCCTGTTGCTATGATAAACTACCCCAATGAAAACAACTCTGGCAAGAAAGAATTTATTTGGACTCAGTGTTCCATAGGGATAAAGTCCCACATAAAGGGGAAGGCAGGGCAGCCGGAACAGGAAGCTGGGTGATCATATTTTCTTGAGAGAGAGACAGAGAGACAGAGACAGAGAGGAGCGGAGAAGGTGGGGGGAACAGAAAGGGAGGGGAGACAGAGAGAGACAGAGGACAGAGAAAGAGAGAGGGGAGAGAGACACATAGACAGAGAACATGAAATGGGGTAAGCTATAAAACCTCAAAACTAAGCTGGGCAGTTGTAGCATGAATCTTAAAGAGTCTGGTTAATAAAAACAAACCTGGAGCCAGGTATTGGGGTGAATGCTAGAAGATCAGAGAAATAGAACAAGCCACAGCTTCCTCACCTCACCAATTCCTCAGGTGATTCTGTTTCCTCAGACTGGATGCCTATCAGCTGAACTGCTGCTCAAAAGCCTAAAAGCTTAACTAGCCAAAAACTTCTAGTTTCTGGTCTTCACACCTTATATATCTTTCTGCTTTCTGCCATCACTTCTTGGGATTAAAGGCATGTGTCACCATGCCTGGCTGTTTCCAGTGTGGCCTTGAACTCACAGAGATCCAGATGGATTTTTGCCTCTGGAATGCTAGGATTAAAGGCGTGTGCTACCACTGCCTATCCTCATGGTTAATATTGTGGCTGTTCTACCTCTGACCCCAGATAAGTTTATTTGGGTGCACAATATTTCGGGGGACACAATACCACCTCATTTCCCCTTTTTTGTCTAAAATTTAAAAAAAGTTTACAACTAATACAAGAAAAACTATCCCATAAGTATTTACAATATATACAGTCAAGAATTACATTAACGATGTCTAGTCCATTAACATTTGACAGATTTAGATAAAAAACTCCATTATCTATATTAACAATGTCCAGTTCAGTAACATTTGATAAACTCAGACAAAAATTTTATTATTTATCCTATTTAAAACAAGTAATTCCTTTTAAAAGTATTTTTCCTTTCATAATAGATTTAGTAATCTACCTTTTGTCATTTTTATATCTTCCTCTTTTTCTTTTTAGTGTAGATTCAGTGATCTACCCATTTATCCTATTATCCTTTATCTTTTTTCTCAGAATAGATTCAGTGATCTACTTCATATCTATATTCTTTTCTCTTTTTTCTTTCTTTTTTAAATAAAACCTCTGAATCTAATCTCCATGGTCAGCTTTTTTCCTGACCATTAACAATTAATAACTTGTAACCAACCATTGTAAACAATAACAATATCCAAAACTCATTAAACGACCAAAAACCTCCCATCCCACCTCTTGGGAATGCGGGTGTCATTTTCTTAAAATTACTTCCCATTTTCTAGGGGTGAAGACATCTTTAAGGAATTCTGAAAAGAAAATTTTTGGGTTAATTGTCAAGTCCTGTATCATCTGTCCAGTCACTGCAAAATGAGAAAGTGCAGGGCTTGTTTCGAGTCCTTGTTTAAGTAGTCTGTCAGGCTCGATCATCTCAGCTAGCCATCTCAAAATTGTCCTGAGCAGTTTGCAGTCCAAAGTCAATCTTTCTGTGGTGTTAATCGGCTTAATGGCTTTACCACAGTCCATGTAGAATCATCGTTGTGGGGGTCCCATCATTTTTTGAAGATTTCAAAGTTGCTGTTAGGCATGGTCATGATTCCCTGCCACTTTTTTTTTTTTTTTTTTTTTTTTTTTTTTTTTTTTTTTTTTTGTGCCTCCTCTGTAGTTTGGGGCAATCACAGTCTGATAAATGTCTGTCTCTCGAAACCATGAACATTCTTCCCTAGAAGAGAAAATCTTCACAGCAATTTCTCCCCACCATTTGTCTTGCCAAACTTTTCCAAACTGACCTTTGCCGATGCTTTCTTGTAACACGATGGTCCTGGCAATTCTTCTCTGAACCAGCAGCAGTAAACCCTTCGTCCCAGGTAGCAGCATCACCGCAGTCACCAACACGATGAGAAGGAGCCAGCAACTTGGAGCAGCAGCCACTGCCTCCATGGTCCCACTGCTGTTTGTAACTCGGCCGAAGCTTCTCCTTAGCAAGCCTCCTAGGCCGGCCTCAAACTCAGGATCCTCCTGTCTCTGCCTCCTTCAGCAAATCCAACTGGCATGCACCACCACAACCAGCCGAGTATAGCTTGGGCCTGAGTTGGGGTCCACAAGGCCCATAGGCAAGTAGCTTTTTGGAGAATTCGTACCACGAACATTTAATGTTGTGGCTGTTCTGTCTCTGACCCCAGATAAGTTTATTAGGGTGCACAATATTTTGGGGAACACAATACCACCTCAGGGTAGTCTTCAGTAACTGGGTTCCTTAGCAAAATGCTGCCACTCATCTTTGTGTCTATAGGCATCAAGAATGTGTTCTCCAGCTGGAGAGATGGCTCAGGGGAAAAGAATGCTTGCTGTGTAATCATGAGGTCCTGTGTTCAAATCCCAAGAATCCATGTAAAGAGCCAAGCATGGTTGTGGGAATACCTGTAACTCTAGCACTGGGAGTGGGGTAGAGACAGAG